TTAGAATGAGAAAAATTGGTTACGATCAAGAACCTGCGTTAAAATTTATCATAAAAGAGAGTTAATAAATGTTAAGATTCTATAATATCCTGGATATTACCAAGAAACTAAATATTAAAAGTGAAAAAAAACTGAAAAACCGAAGAGACCGAAGTACTAAAATTCAAAAAAGACACGAAGTGTTAAAAAAACTCTATCAAGTAATAATTTATTAACATTTTTGCCAAAAAATAAATAAATTTAAAGTATAGAAGATTTTGTCAAAAATCTAAAACATTTCTACTAAACCTATGTTTAGTGTCATTCTCAAATGCAACGGTAAAATTAACGGAGAACCAATAAAATATAATGGAAAGGGGCATGCAAATCTAAACTCGTTAAATCAAATCGAAATTTGAATTACGTTGCAAATCCAGTTTGCATTTCGCGCAACTACGGAACGTAAATGAGTTTATACAGTTTTTAAAAACGCCGATTAAAATTAACCCACGGATGCAAAACAAAATCTATTTTTAACCGCTGAAAATAGCGATAAATTGAATGCTGGCTTTAATACAAACTCCCGTTTTATTTTTGGGTTAAGATAGTGTGTTTTGGTTACCTAACGTTGAATTCCGCCTTTACCGTTAATATTCAAGACAATAAAAAAAATGTAAAGTATAAGTTAAATTGTAAAGTATAATTCTCCAGATGTTTATATGACAGGTGGAAAACGCGTTTCAATTCAACGCCATATATATTAGTGAATTCTCAGCTCCATTATCGCTTCCCAATTTTTGTAAAATATTTCCTTATTAATTAATTATTACTTCCCTTTATTTTGGTTAATATTATTAATTTATATTAAACACCCAACTATATAATCTTTTGACAATTTACTATTTCTATGGTATAACTAGATATAATTGCATCAATATCATACGATGGATCAGTGGTTTTTATCCGCCATCAAATAAAACTTATTTAATTAACACTATTTCTTGTTTATTTGAGCGTAATAAACATCTTAGTTAATGTACGTACGTGGTGAAAACGAGAGTCGATAATCGAAAGTTTTTTTGTCGGTACTCATTAAAGTTGCGTTGAAAATCTCAGAGGGGTATATCGAATTTTCCTTTGTATACGACATCTTAAAAAGAAAATTCCCTGGAGCAAGGGGTTTCTTCGCAATTTCAGTTTCGTTTTATTTTTATATACCCGCAAATATTTTCTATGTTCAAAATAATTTATATTTTCACTTTTGCACGTTTCTTTGCAGAGGAAGATTTATTTAACAAATATTGTAAATTAGGAGCGATAGGGGATGTTTTAGGTAAATTTCAAACGCTGATGGTCACCGTTGCTAGTGAATGTGTCCGTACTGTTTCGCAAAAATATATTGCATGGTAACTACTGCTGCAGAAACTAGTGATTAAAGTGACGTTTATCAAACAAAGTTTCCAAAACTGAAAATATAGAATAGAAAATTTTATGCAAACAAATTTGTCCTAATTTTTAATAATAATAATAATCTAATTAATTCGTGATAAGCAAAACATAAATGTAAAACATATGCCCACAATAATAAATATAATTACACGTTCGTGCTAAGTAATAAATTAAGTAAATAAATAAATTTATTTATATACCTCCCAAAATGCTACTGAAATAGGCCATAAGACTATTTGCTTGTCAAATACGTGAGCTGCATTTGTGTGATTTATTAATTACGTGGCAAAGAATAAAGTTGGATCCTGTTATAAGGGAAACCTATTTTAAAATTTTAATATCTTTTTAAAACTTTCGAAAGCAAGAAAAGTGCTTTATGCTAAATCATTTAAAAAACATGCCTAATGAAAAATCTGAAGTCTATTAATTTTATATGTCGTATGATACGCATTTCTTAGATTAACTTTCAAACGACAGCAACAAGTTAACTAAAACAATAAACAAATACAATATGTTAAGAATGAAATGGGTTTTACAGAAGGCAATAACTAATTTAAACAAATTTTTCTTTCTTCCCTAAAATACCCAATCATGCACCAATCTAACATGAGGAAAGTGTCATTTTGCCACGTCAGTTGCCTTTCTCACGGATCTGAGCCATTTCGCACATTTCCGTGATATTACGAACGGGTTTGTGAGCAATCGGAAGTTTTTGGAGATACAGTATGGTGAATGAATGTAATCGTATTGTTTTGCAAAAATGTTCCCAGAAACTAAAGGCCTTAGAAAGGGTATATATTTCTAACCACTCGCTCCGCAGAAATAAACTCGTGACTCAAATATCGTTTGCTACACTTGTTGCTTAATATACTACTATTTTCAAATTTTGATAATAATTAAATCTTGTACAGGTGTAACAAGTAGATATTCATTACATTGCGTTTATCGCGAACAGGAAAATTACCATTCGACTCGGTCTGCGAGTTAACTACAAAACTATTTGCTTTCCGGTAGAGAAACAATACTAAAAGAAAGAACAAAGTCTAACGAGTATTAACGGTAAAGGCGGAATTCAAATGCGTTTGTCTAGACGAGGTCGAATTGCACGCTGACGTGCGAAACAATTTCGATTCTCAATTTAACAAGGTCGGACGACTCTTAAAAAAAGGTGAAGGTTTTGCTGAAGTCGAATGAAATTCGATCAAGCTTAATGAACTGTTAAATAATCTAGAATTCCCGGGGACCAATCAGTTGCTTTTCTATTTTCGTCGACGCCTTCTTTGCGTCCTAGTCTCAAATTGCAGATGTACAGTGCATTCCAAATTCGTTCTACCTTATAAGCTATCTTGGAATCCATTAAAGATATAGATTTGTTGAATATTATTGGAGAAATTAAACTGCAAAATTTATATTTCAATATTTCCACAATTTTGGTTAGTTACAGAATATTACGATAGCCTCGAAGTTTCTATGTACCTTTTTAATGTTGGAAGAAATTTAAAGTTTAATTTACCATAAGTTGCAATTACATATTTATATCCAGAACTAGTTTAACATATTTTTTTAATCTAATACCAGCAAGATATTCTAGTAAGGATGCAACTTTTTTTGCATTAGTTTTTTTAGATAGTGAGTGCAGGAATTTTTCACTCTTTCAGATTTGTTGAGAGAAATTTCATTAGAAATTAAATCAGACATTTTTAGATCACTTTTGGCAATACCCGTTGTGTTGAATAATACACTTACAAAAATTCTTTATCTTTATTAACATTAACCTCAATATTTCATGTAAGACTAAGCGAAGACCATGATCATCTGAAAAATTTAAAAGTCATAATCATATCCCTATAACAAAATTAATAAGGCAGTTTTATTTGTTCTGTAATTTTGGCTTTTGAAATATCTAGAAAGATTCGGCTTTGATTACTTTTTAAAATTGATATTGATAGAAGGTTAACTTTATAATTTTATAGGCTTATTAACCAAAAATTGTATTTTTAGCAGAATTAAATAATATAGTGGCGCAAGCAAAACACTTATCATATTGTGAGAGATGTAAATGGATTTAGATGGACTAACTTATTAGTTTCTTGAAATTGTAGATACCTGATTCTTGGTTCTAGATAGCTAAAAAAATGTAGATGTTGAATATCACTTCCGTCAGTTTTCAAAATTGGTTTGTTTACGCCGCACCATAATTTTCTCTCACTTCAATTAAAGATCGTAATATGAACAAATATTTTTTGCTGTTATTTTTTTGTAAGAAACCAACTTTGATGTTTAGTTTTCCTCACTCTCAGAATATACCTCAAAAGTCTTTTAATATGCAAGATGGTCGCTAATGGTGTGTCAATATTGAAGGAAATAATGTTTTTTAGATATTATAAAAAAAATCATGAAGTTTTTTCTTGAAATGTACAAATGTGGGTACAACATTTTTTGACTTGAATAAATTTGTCTTCAGAAATATTTATAGCGTTTTAAATTTTCTTTCAATTTTCTTGAATTTTTGTTGTAACATGTATGTAATGGCAAACTGTGTTTTCATACGCACTAAGATTAGATTTTTATATTCCATTACATTCCATTTTAATTTTCAGTTAGTTTTATCTAGTTAAATATGAATGTAAAGTTGAAACTGTCGTGAATTTACCTTGATAGCGCTTTGCAAATATTATCCATTGCTTCCAGAATGATGATTTACTTTATTTATGTCAGTTGCCGATCTGTGAACATTTAGATTGCTTGTTCTTCTTCCCCCATAGTAATAGAATCTGGTATCGCGCGTTTTCTTTTTTATCTAGTTGAATATGAATGTAAAGTTGAAACGGTTGTGAATTTATCTTAGTAGCACTTTGCAAATAGTATAAACTGCTTCCAGAATTATGATTTACTTTAAGAGGAACGTTTATTTCTGTTATTTGCAGATCTGTAAATATTTTGGGTTGCCTGTTCTTCTTCTCCGTTAGTAATAGAATCTGTATCGCGGGTTTTGTTTTTATCTAGTTGAATATAAATGTAAAGTTGAAACGATTTACTTTAAGAAGATCTGTAAATATTTTGGATTGCCTGTTCTTCTTCTCCGTTAGTAATAGAATCTGTATCGCGCGTTTTCTTTTTATCTAGTTGAATATGAATGTAAAGTTGAAACGGTTGTGAATTTATCTTAGTAGCACTTTCAAGTACTATCAACTGCTTCCAGAATGATGATTTACTTTAAGAGGACCCTTTATTTGTGTTATTTGCAGATCTGTAAATATTTTGGGTTGCCTGTTCTTCTTCTCCGTTAGTAATAGAATCTGTATCGCGCGTTTTCTTTTTATCTAGTTGAATATGAATGTAAAGCTGAAACGCTTGTGAATTTATCATGATAGCGCTTTGCAAATAGTATCTACTAATTCCAGATTGATGATTTACTTTACTGTATCGCGCATTTTCTTTTTGTCTGCCACAATATAGCGAATTTAAAAACGGAATATTAATCGTCGACCCAGAAATACGCGCTAAATTTGTATCGCAAAGTGGGAGACACAATTTATAAGATATTTCTGTTTTAATTTTGGATGAAAATAGATCTGCTGTGAGTCGGGAATTTGACTTGCTGTGACCGGTTACCAGTCATCACTCGGTTATTTCCCATTCGTGTGCGATACCGGGTCGACCATGAGCGGTCCTTTCAAGAGACGCCCTTCACTTAAAGCGCTTCCACCTGTCGGTAACATCAGAAGATCTTCGATTAGGCGACAATCGTCGGTCGGATTACCGGGCAAACCGGCAACGGCAACATCCGGACCGCAAGAAGTACCATGGGATGTCTTGGATCGGTGTTTTTTACCGGTCATATTTTGCCATGCGGCCGCGTTTACTATTAGCGTAATGTTAAACGTTCTTCATGTGACTGAAGTGAGCACGTTGACATTGTTTATTTGGTTTAGTATAGCTACTATAGGTGCGGTTTTGTTTTATCACAATTTGAAGGTAAGTTAGAAGTAAAACTAATGAGTCTACTCTTAATATTAACATAATATCGATTATATGGCCAACATTGGCTGGCTCTATTCTGGAAACAGACGCCCCTTCAGTTGCGTATTTTTTTGCATGGGCTTTTCCAACAGAGGAGAACTTTATTATTTAAGGGTGTAATGTATAAAGCATTCATTGTCTGATGAATTGAAATTTTATAATATTACAAATACAAATTAAAAATATGTCTTTTTACCGAATAATAATAATAATAATAGAATAAAAAAAAACTTTATACCTGCTCCTTAATAAAATAAAAAAGATGAAAGAGCATTTTAAGTCCTATAGAATAGTGCTTTTTTTCAATTTTTTTTATTTTCTTTATTATAAGTCAGACATTTTTATGGTTTAGTATGAGTAGCGGTTCTGTCGTCTATTACGTGTATCAATTATGCATAAATGTTGCCTTAATAAAATCGATTTGAAGACTTCTGAACATGTTTGATCATTTGTAGTGCTAACTGTTGTTCTCTATATCTATTCGTTTAAATAATTCTCATTTGTAACGTAACGTATCTAGTGTTCAGCAAGTTCAGACGAAATTACAATACACATAATTTAACATTTCATACATGCATTCATCAGTTTCAAATTGAATTAACAAATTTTAATTTTGAGCATATTATTGTAAAGAAACGATACCAATTCCCTCTACAATTACAAAATTATTACATCTCATTAATAATTAATAAAACGCCACAATCTATGTAGGTATCATTTGACCTTTCAACAATTATTATCATAAGTCATTTAATAAAACGCCACTATCTACGTATCATTTGACCTATATTCCACTGCTTGTTTGAAAAACATTTCCCCTCGTTTTCCGGTGTTTTAATTCAAACAAAAATCAGCGAAAAAATAATTCCGAGAATTTTAAAGACTAAAATCAACAAAATCCCACAAACGGCATTAATTTTATAGGCTTTTTTCTGCTTTGCAGTTGGAACATAACAGTTTATTTTTTTATTAGAAAGGGTAATATGCGCGTGATATTAGTTCTGTCAGTTCTTTTGAAATTTGAAATGCGAAAAGCGCCGCTTTATTTGTTTCATTCTTCCATTTTACAAATGACATTTACCACGCTTTCCCTCTTTTTGTAATATCGTTTTTGTAATATTACTAATAACCTATTCATAAATGTAATGCTATCAACATAATTTTTAATTTTTTCATTATCCTCCTTCTATCATTCCATCCCCCTCTTTCATCTAAAAAATTTTTATTGGAATATTTCGCATATCTTACACGTTAATAAAATTTTAGTCGCCTTGTTATGTTGATTGTGCTATATTTAAGAAAAAAAAATAAAAATAGAACACAAGAAATAAAATTAAACTACTAAAATTTAAAAAAAAAAGAAATTTATGATTGCCCAAATACGAAATTTTGCACGAATTGAATGTTCAATTTATTTGCAAGTAAGACGTTGTTATATTGGCCATTAATTAATTGTGTGAAGGGGACAATTTTTGAATTAATTTTGAGATACAGAGTGGTAAAGTTTTTAGGAAACATTTTGCTTCATAAGATCTGAGAAACGATTCTAATTTTTTTTTTAAAGAAACTTCCACAGGCTACTGTAATACTTCTTATAAAACGTCTGGATTCCTCCTGCGTCGGTTTTTGTTGAGTCGAACACGCTAAGGTTTCGCCAGTCATCTTGTTGGCTTCTTCAGAGCTTGACTGAAACTGGCTCGCATTTTACTCTATACCTGCTTATATATTGTTTGAAGGAGGCGAAGCCAAATGAGGGACATGACTGATTCCCATATTGGTAAGCGGTAAAGACTGAGTCGCGGTTAAGATTGTTACTTTGCTTGTAGATTGCTATAGACTCTCGGATTTTTAGTTTTATCGAATTAAATTTTATGTCCGGTTTCGTGATTGTGCTCGGCAACTGCTCATGAGTTTATTTGTCTTAGTCTTAAGGCTCGTTCATGTTCTTTGAGCCCGGTCGAAATTTTTCGTCCGGTCTCTCCAATGTATTCTATGCTGCATATGCATGGAATGCTGTAAACTCCTGGCATCTCAAATGGAATTTTGTTTTTGACTGATCGAATATATTGAGAAATTTTTGGACAAGTGGGAAATCTGATTTTGACGTGATATTTCTTTGGAACATTTGATTTGTGGTCAGTGATGTTTTGAATGTAAGTGGCAAGTGTGAGATTGTTTTCAGCTTCATTGCTATTGGAAGGTTGTGGTGAAGTGTATTTTGTGATGGAAAGGTTAATATCTTTAATGTGGAAATTATTAGAGAGAAGAGCAGAGGTAAGGTGTTTTAATTCTAGATCTAATGACTCGGAGTGAGATAGTTTTACTGCTCTGTAAACAAGAGAGTTGATAACCGATTATTTTTGGGCCGTGCGTCTGTATCCGTAGGTTTTCAGTAAACACAATGGCCCAATGTTAGGTCTGATTTAGACGTAGCGTCTCCACAATTTTGGTTTTAGATGGAAGGTGTCGAGAGCTTTCTTCTCAAAGGCTTTCATAAATATATTTGCGATGACCGGTGATAGCTGCTCCCGGCGTTTGTTCAAAAATTTGACAATTATAAGAAAAAAATGTTCCAGACAAGCATTTTTCAAATAAGGTGAGAAGGTTTGGTTCCAGATTCTCGGATTTTAATATATCTGAAATGATGGTGAGAATTTCAGAAATAGGAACTTTAGTGAAGAGGGATTCTACGTCGGTATTCTGGTTAGTTTCGAGTCTATAGAAATCTATAAGCAACCTAACAATCTTAACCGCGAGTCAGGTCTTTACCTGTCACCAATATAGGAATCAGTCATCCGAGACGGTGTTTATGCCCTTCATTTAATTCCGCCCCCTCAAACAATATAAAAACAGGTACAGATAGTCTAGTCGTTTCGACATAAAAGTCAGCTCTTGTGTTTTTCATTTCAGATGTTTCATTTGTCAGCACTGACTAAATTTTGTTGTTAGCTTGGAATAAATTACAGTTTATAAACGTCATTCAAATTCAGTCTTCCTTTTTCTGGGTGAATTTAATTTTAATTTAAATCATTTAATTTTTTGTATTATTTTTTAAATCTGCCAATATTTTTCATTTCTAAAGCATTGTTAAGATAAAAAGTTACCATAAAAATGTTCACTTCGAGATACAGCGTGTCAAAATGTTATTTTTATCCTGTCTCTAGCAGCAACTGTTTTCAAAATATTTTGAAATAATAAACTGTTTTTAAAATTTTTTGATAAATAAAAGGTTAATAATAATAAACTATTAATTAAATTATCCCACTAATAATTAGGTATTACTTAACTCTTCTTCAAAATGGTATTATGTATTGTATTTTTAATTCGCCAATAAAAATAAAACACATTTGTAAAAACACAGGAGTCGAAAACCAAACCAAAAAATAATACAAGAACGAAGCAAAATATAAATAAAACTTTGACACTTATTGCCGGACCAGACATTTAAAGCAACTATTTACCTTAAAAATATTTAAGAAACTAAATAACACAGTAATAAAACACGAATGTTAAAGTGTCACCTGGATCGTTTTGTTGTAGAAAAAATAAGTCACGATCCTGGTTCGCATTATACACAACATCGTCAAATTAAAAGCATAAAAAAAACATGTCGGAGAATAATCTAGAATCGACGCTTCGTATATACGCATTGGGGTTCCCTTTCGTAGAAAATGAAGTCATTAGAACGGGGTATAGCCTCTGTGGGGATATTAAGCTATATTTAGAAAGAGTCTTGTCTACATTATAACTCGCTCACTCCTACGGAATTAACGATGGAACTTTTAATTGGTACTGTCGATGTGACAGACCGTTAATTATTTTGTTATTACCCTTGTACCTGACGAGCGCCTTCAATGGGGATATAAATTACATTGATTCGGATTAATGCACAAGAGGGGTCGTAAAAACCCGCCACCTTTTTGCAATGTCCACCTTTCCTGTAATTCTCAATCAATCAAACTTAAAGGGAAGCAAAATAATATTAGAGTCACGCCGTTCCATTAGTTCGGTTCCACAGTTATAGGGACAAGGTGTCGCCCGGGTAAATATAGAACAATAAGCCACAAGACATCATTTTTGAAACCTTTTACTCCCATTATCAAATATCTATTACATTAATATAGAGAAAAACGTTGGAATATTCATTTCAATGTTTGTATTTAAACTTGACGCCAGAACTGTATTCTGGTTAGTTTGTAAAATATAAAAATAAGACATCATAACAACATTTGTATTACAATTCATAACACTTAATTAAGCTTGAGTTGAGGAACTCGTCTGCTATCTTAAATGTTACGTATTTTACAAATAATCCAGACCAAAACAAGGGAAGAGGAACCAAAAGAATGGATTGCATTAATTACAGTTGCTTTTAGCCATAGCTTTAAACTTAGTCAAAGACTCCGGAACAGTTTTCCACTAATTAGACAATTTATAGCTGAACCCTATAGATGTTCCAATATTTTTTTCATTTCAACAAGAATTATGTTAAATAATTTATTTCCAACAAATAGAAATGTTCGCTACCCTATCCTTTTCTTTGCAAATGTTTGTGTTAAGTTTTCTTTTGTTTTTTAGTTGTTAGTAAAGTGATCATGAGATAGATATGTGGTTGTTGAATAACGAGTTTTCTGCATATGAACCATACTTACTTTATGGTATAGTTGTGGAATACCTTGCAATACTATGGTCAGTGGGCTGATCTGGGGGATACTATAGGTCAAGTTGAAATATAACTTTCAAGACTCTTTTCTGAATAACCTCTAATGGTTTGAGATTACTTTTATATGCTCCTCCCCAGCTGATAATGCCGTATAGTAAAAATGACTGAACCAACGCAAAGTATAAAGAAATATTTTCTTTTATTGAAAGAACTTGTCTCGTTTGCTTAAAAATATATACTAGGGATCTAATTTTTTTAACTAATGTTCGAACATATATATCCCATTTCAAGTGACTGTCCAATAGTATGCCAAGGTATTTGACACTGTTTTTTTATTTCTATTTGCCAGCATTCGATCGCCTGCCTTGTATATTGACCTAACAATAACCTCTTACCGGTAGAAATTTTTGTATTTATTATACACGATAGCGGTTGGCTTATTTCTTTGGCAATCTCTTTTAAAATCTCAACATCAACCATCAACCATATTCTCCAGGTTCCCTAATCATTTTTTCAATCTCACAAATATCCGTTCCTTCAATAAACATCGTGTCTCTGATATTATGATTTTCTGAAAAGTCGATCGTTGTGGTTCGAATTTTATTCGCTAAATTTTGCTCTATAATAGAGAAATAGACAGTACAAAAATTTGCTATGTTGCATGGATCATGTAATATTTTTTCTAACACTTGAATCTTATTAATCTCATCAGAGTTTTTTTTACTTTTATGAAACAAATATTGGTTTACAGTTTCCCACATCTTTGAGGTTTGTTTATTTTGGTGTATTATGTTTTTGTAAAAATTGTTTTTTACTTTCCTCCTAAGATTGACTATTTTATTTCGGTATTTATATTTTATAATTATCTCTTATTTTAATTTTAATGCAACAGTCCCCGCGGTTTGTCCTTTTATTTCTTCTTTTTTCCTTTCTTTCTTTCATCGTACGATTTGAATAAATTCATTTCCCGCCTGAGTCAGTCTTACAAAATACTGAAATGAAATTTTCATTTTTAGCTAGAGTTTTTGATTTAGGCATATCTACTTTTTTGTAAATAATATATTTTTTATTATTTTTACTTTTTATGTTATTATTTTCATTTAATTGAAAAATGATCAGTAATGTGGGAGTGTCATACAACTTAAAATTCCCTTATCAAAAATTTTATTTTTTGCAAAAATGTGATCTAAACATGCCTTTCGATTCCCATCTAAACATTGATTAAAGATGAAAACCCATACTCACTTAGTGTGTTAAATAATCATGAGTGTCAAGATCGTTTTGATCCAGAATGTCTATATTGAGGTCTCCTAAAATTATTTCAGTATCAGCCGGATTGTTGTACATACGTCTTTAGTTCGTCTCTAAATTCTGAGTTGAATTCTGATTCACCGCACACCGCAAGTTACATGAAAAGAAAATTCAAAATTATATTTTTCCCGCACAACTAAGCAGAAAATATCGGCTAGTTTCCATATTTCAGTTAAAATGATAATATCAAATGGGGTTTTAAATTGTTCCATCATAATTTCAAACTGTGGAAAGTTCTTACGAATACTTGGAAAGTTACTGTGAAAAGCTCTAAAATGATGTTTGGCCGGGTCGCTAATGAAAAGTGAGTTTGCTTGGTGACAAATTTTGTCAATTAACGAATATGATCAGTTGAATACAAATTAATAAGCAGATAATAATATACTTTTTAGTTTTTCTTTATCGTCCTGGTAGTTTTTTATCGTAGTATATATCGTAATCGATGTAATAGAAAGTTAATTTTTCTATATCCATGCATTATATTGTAAATTTGTGTTCGACCTAATATTTATATTTTTTTCTATTTTACCTTCTTTTTTGCAACAAACACAGTGGACTCTGAATGAATCTACCACAGTGAATGGAAAAACGAGTAGCAAAAACATCTTAGGTATCTTTTACCCCACACAAGTGCTATAAGTGTTGCACACTATACTTTTTCTATCACCATTAGTTTCTTGGTACTTTTTTGGCAATTAAATAGAGTTCAAATTTTATGTTTTTTAATCCAAATATTAAGCCAAAGTCATGAAAAGCGAAACTGCATTCAAAAAAATTTACAATGTGTCTCACATTGATTCCGAAACTATCTTTTTGCGTAAATTTAAAACATTTTCGCCGTCGATTCCATTAATCCTTAAAATGGGACGACAATAAGAAGAAACCTCGAGAGAGTTATTTTTAGTTTCTCCTTGAGGACGAGATCGAGCTTGAGGCATCCCCAAGATATCGTTTCGTTTCGTAGTCGCCTCAAAGTGACTTAATGAATGACATTTAGGAATTGGGAATGAGCCGAATTTAAGGTCAAGTTTCGTTATGGAGTATCGTAAATGTTACTCAATGTCAGTCATTGAGTGACATTTATACGGATTTAAGACGCAACGCGACCTTAAAGTCGTTTCAGTTCTTAAAATTGCGCCCTTAAGGTCGTCTTTGAGAGTAGGTGGGAGTGTTTAATAAACCAGTGTCTGAAGAAGTTTATAAATTTGCTGCATAATATACTTTTTCTACGACTATTAGTTTTTGAATACATTTTTGCAAAATGCGCAAACAAATTGCAGATACTAAATACTGTGGATTTCAAGAGTTTTCAATATCATATTGTATTTAACCTTATCAATATGATCGAATCAACGGATGAATGATTTATCCTTTGTAATTATGATTCGTCCTGCGTATAATAATGATCTATGGACTTTACGTCGTACTATACACGACCACACACTTTGACCTAAAATTGTTTATCGGCATTTGGTGGTTGATTGACTCACATTTAACACCAATAATTTTTCGTAAAACTTAAAAAAATAGTGAAACATTCTCCGTATTAAAAAAAATTCTATATCTTTTTATACATAACTGTAGTGGCAATTTAAAACGATGTTTGCGCTTTAACGTGAACTTCGAGCTATTAGTCCTGGATTATGCTGACCTCTCGAAGCGCCTCCATGGATTTCGCTAGGGTAATTCCAAACATGAGGAAAACTAAAGCACGGTATTAATTCGTATTAGCGGTTGCCCTTATTGCAAGACGAACTTTCTGCGCCGCATATTTATAATTTAAACAAATCTATTTTCCACACTGTCACAATGTCACCCATGCTTTTTATTCTAGGTAACAGCTGCAGGAAAAGCTGTCCTGATCACGGGCTGCGACTCACGTATAGGAGGCGCCCTCGCTAGGCACCTGGACGAACAAGGGTTTACAGTCTTCGCTGGATTCCAGAATGCTGCCGACAGCACAATGTCTGGCGAGCTGAAGGAAGTGTGCTCCGGTCGATTACACGTTCTCCAATTGGACGTCACTTCGGAAAGGGATATCCTGGCTGCCTCGCTCAGTATCGTTGAAAACTTACCAGATGGCGCTCCCGGTCTATGGGCCGTCATACATGCCGCATCTTGGGTGGCGTTGGGCGAAATTGAATGGGTTCCACCCCAGGTAAATTTTAACGTTTTTTCCTCATGTAACTTAATAAAAAAAGTTTACTATATTGCTACCCGGCTCTAAACCGAGATTATGCAGAAAATAACTTAAAGAAGGATCGTGCTGCAGAAATAAGTAGCCGGCGCGTCATTGCTTTTTTCTAAATAAATACATACTTTTAAGGAATATATAAGCCACAATAGTAAGAAAAACTGGGTATGATCTAAACTGGAATTAGGGCGGCGAATTAGAAAAGTGAGACAAATTTTGAAATACGAAAACACAACTAGTAACGGGGATTCTTGCCTTTGTATTTCTAATTTATGTAAATGGAGAATGGGGTGTTATCATTGTTTAGTTGCTTTACTTGCCGATATAATTTTTGCTAAACACAATGACATATTATTATTTGATAATCAAAATAACGTTTTCCATGGTATTATTTCAAAGAAGACCTAAAATATACAACACTATATTTGAATGTGAAACCAATGTTTTTTATTTCTAGAAAATGTTTCTTTTGAAACTTTTGTGACAACTAAATCAATTATTTATGTACTTGATTTATTTAATCATATTTATATATTTAATTTATATAATTTATTAATTAACATCAGCTTTAGATTTTAGCAGATTATCAACCTCAAAATATACTAAGAAGAATACAGAACAATAAATAATTAAAGTGATTTCACAAATTACCCCTTAGCAAAAGATGTAAGCTCAAAATCCGTAAAGAGACCAGGAAAATTAAAGGCAATAATTATAAAAAATCTGTGATTAATATTTATAGGTGTATCCGCAATTAATATTAACGTGTATGACATAGAAAAAAGTACCGATTTCTAACCGTCTTCCTCTAAATAACATTTATCTCACAAAATCGATATTGACTGCAACAATAATTTTTCAGGCTTCAGCTTTGTATCTGATGAGCAAAAAAATCTTCATTCTTCTGATCGAATGCTCGACAGAATGATAATTTTAACCCTAGGCAAACTTTTTCATCTTCTCATTATCGGCGTTTTATACGTTTCCGTTCGAGTTAATCTAATAGCGTCTATTAACAAGCAAGTAGCGATGGGATATAATTTAACAATTAACTAATTTAAACGAAATTAATTAAATAACGTTGCTGTACGTGTAAGAAATGACCTTCATGTTAATTACAATAAAAACGGCCTGTAAAAGAAACGATGTAGTTTCTACTTCTTATACGCTCATCATAACGGAAAATGAATTTGTTTAAATTATAAATATGCGGCAGAAATTTCGCCTTGCAATAAGGGCAACCGCTAATACGAATTAATACCGCGCTTTAGTTTTCCTCATGTTTGGAATTACCCTAGCGAAATCCATGGAGGCGCTTCGAGAGGTCAGCATAATCCAGGACTAATAGCTCGAAGCTCACATTAAAGCGCAAATATCATTTTAAACTGCCACTACAGTTATGTATAAAAGGATATATAATTTTGGTGACAGAATTTTTTTAATACGAAGAATGTTTCACTATTTTTTTAAGGTGATAAATGTCAATCTACCTCAATATGCCGATAAACAATTTTATGTCAAAATCTGTGGTCGTGTATAGTACTACGTAAAGTCCATAGATCATTATCATACGCAGGACGAATCATAATTACGACCATTGTTAAATTATATTTTACATTAAATAGCTAATTTAAATTGCACAATCGTATGTCATATGATCAGTAAAGCTAATATCTGCAGTATCTTGATTGACAAATAAAAATGTCTTTGTTTCTTATGTGTTCTGAGCAAAAATGTTTAAACAATCTAAAAAACAATTTTCAACGCACACATGCCCTGTCACTCACAACTAAAATTAAAACAAGGTTAACAGGTATCCCTTATTTACTTATAATATTCTTGAAATCTGATTGAAGGCCATTAGATACATAATATAATACAAAAACTGATTTCAATTCGTTGCGCAAAAATGCTCAAAATTTTATTTTTCCTATAACTAAAATAATCAGACATTATTAAAATGTTAGCGATATACATGGAAAATTTCCGAAATATCTTTTTTAGATTTACAATATACAAAAATGTTTGCGTAAAACTTATCAAACTAAATTAATAAAAAAATAATCAATAATTCTTACACGTTCGTCGATCATTTGCAGCCATATTAAAAATGAAGCACTTAGATATATAAAATTGCACTTTTATATGGAATAATGGAAAAAATAGGTTTTATGTTATTGTCTTGAAGCGTTGTGTATCTTCGGCCCAAAAAAAGTGCTGGTGGTGTGGCTAAAAACTTCTAACTGTCAATTAGCAGCTTTTAGGCTTTTATGTGGCGAATAGATGCAGGACATTCATCAACACCCATATGAAATTTAGCTCACAATAGAAACAAAGCCTTCCGACCACATATTTTGAAGAGTTTCTTGTTTGATGAATCACATTGCCACCTCACAGGGTGTGGTAATAAATAAAATAGTTAATTGTTGCAGATTGCAGATTGACAATAAGTATGTATATATGGAAAGTTCGATCACTCTTTAGATTGCAGTCCCCTGGACTGACTACGGGAATTAAAAACTCTTAGTTTATGAACCTGTTCCAGCTTTCCCGTCAACGGGTAACATGATTTCCAACCTATGTTGCCAATAATAGAGCTCTTTTGGCGACAGGAGGTATTTCTAGCGGCCTCTATCGGTGGTCTTACAAATTGTAATTTTTTGCTGTTCAATAATATTTACCAAATTCGAAAAGCTAATTAAACAGGCAATTTGTTCCTCAAAAAAATTACCAGAACGGTTAAAGATAGTAACACATTTAAGATATTTGATATCAAACTGTGATCATCGTTTAAAATGAATTTTTATCCCAACAGAATAAGCCGGGGAATGGGAATAATAAGGGAACCTAATTTCACGTCGTAAACGATATGAAAACTGCTAAACGGTATGCAAAACAGTTAAGAGCTTTTTAAGCTTTAATTTTTGATGTAACTTTTGTTTACTTGTTTCACTGCCTCGTTTAACCACGAACCGACACCGCAAGTGGCAACTGCTAATTTTCCCCATTTCCAATTTTAGTGTGCTGCGTCGGCGTTTGCATCACCTGGAAAATTAGAAATTATAGAACACATCAGATTATGCCATTCACGCATTGCTACCGATTATTTTTGAAGTCTATTTTCAAGTTTAACTACAACCCCACCCCTGATACCAAAATTTTACTTTTACTTTACGCTCTTAGTTTTCAAATTTTTGCCACAAATGGAAGCGGTTTAAAGAAGCAAAAGACTTAAGAACTGAAGATGGCAGAGAGAGATACTAGAGTAAAATCAACCGTCTTCTATCTTGTATGTGTGGTAGGTACAAAGCGAATTTTCTTCCTTTTTTTCTTTTTGCTTATAATTTTATTTATCAGTGAGGAAGCATAAGTTATTTTATAACCTTCCCTGTAAAAAGTGAAATATTTTAAAATAAATCAATCGCATTTCAGTTCAAGGACTTTATTTTTCCCCTAGATACGCCACAACACACACAAACACAACACAAATTAGCGATTCTCTGAACAAATCAGAATTGATTAATTACCATGAAGCCTATAATAATTATTTATATTACAAATGAGACATGAGATTAAATGCAATAACGAGACTTAGAACTGAGAATAATCATCGGAGTTTTGGAGGAGTAATATACAAAATAACCTAGTAAAGGGTGATTCAATATGGGTTTCCACATTAAAATAATAAAAAAAACTTGGAAGAATATAAAAATATACAAACATTTTTACTTGCCATTTTAGATTAGTGTATTACAATTAGGTATGAAAGATGATGTCATTCAAATGACCCCCGCGACTCATGTGGCATGACGTAATTCGTTTATTGAAATTTCCTATCACTTTTTGACACAATTCAGGTTCTATTCCGGCTATTTCACGTCTAATCTCCTGTTTCAGCTGTGGAATAGTGTTTGGTTTTGGTTTATTTCTATATGCTTTTTAGATACCCCCAAAAAAAATCTAGGGGAGCAAGATCACATGATCGCGGCGGCCAATTGATATCGCCGTTACGTAAGATAATTCGACCAGGAAACTTGCCCCGCAGCAAGTGCATCGTTTCTCTGGATGTGTGGCAAGTGGCTCCATCTTGTTGGAACCACAAATCTTCAACGACCATACGTTCCAACTGCTCCCAGAAAAAAGCAGATATCATGTTTCGATAGCGAACACCATTAACCGTAACAGCGTTCTCCGCATTATCCTCGAAATAAAAAGGGCCAATTGTTCCTCCGCACCAAAATGCGCCCCAAACAGTCACTTTTTGAGGATGCATTGCTTTTTGAACAATTTCTCTTGGATTTTCTAATCCCCAAATACGAGCATTGTGTTTGTTTACAAAGCCACCAACGTGAAAATGTGCCTCATCGCTAAAGATAATTTTCGTTGAAAAATGAAGTCTTTTGTTAAAATTCGCTGTGTGGTTGAATACGTAAGGCCCGCTTGCTGCGATCGATGACGAATCGATGTGTTTGGATCTTCGGCTACACTTTCGCGAACAACGGGAATATTTTGATCTAACCAACCTGCACGAGCACGTTGAGGGACTTTGAGGTTAGTTATAGATCCAGTTTGCTCAAATTTTTGAACCACATTCCAAATTGTCCTCTCAGAAGGTCGATTTTGTGAGCCGAAAAATTCACCTAGGGTCCGAAATGCATTTTTTCTTGATCGACCATTTTCATAATAGGCTTGCACAATTTTTGCACGTTGTTCAGTCGAATATTGCTCCATGGCTAATTTTGTTTATGTTTTGAGGTTAGAAATCTTACGATAATAAACAAATACAGTGGCGTTTCAAAAATATTTCAGATTGCAATGTGGAAACTCTTATTGAATCACCCGTTATATAGTATACTGCTGGTATATAAATAGATCATATTGGGTAATTGATTCGAATAATTTAAATTTAAGATAAATATGAACAAAATCTTCTCAGTGAGTTGAAGTATAATATAAATAAAATA